AAAATTCTAATATGGCCACTAAAACCCTTTTAAAGTAAAAAAATCTACTTCATAATCTGACTTACAACAATCTTTACTCTTTTTTGGTTTTTCACTCCTTTAGTTACATTAAGATCCAAATGACCGTAAAAAGTGGAACAGGACTCCTTTTGGTCCAGTTGCGACACCACATGCAGCAATTCTATAAATGTCAAGGATATGAAAATGTCAAGGTATTTTCACAAATAAGTTTCAAATTAACGAAAGTTATTTTATCAAGTAGGTGTTGCACATTTTATGGACGATTAACCTATTACTTTTGTAAATGGACAATATCTTAACAGAGGATAACAGCTAGCTACACCGAAATTTCTACTTATTTGGTTAAATAATTTTCATTCATTAATGTGTGCCTTGCTTTACTTGTAGTTGTGTTTCCCTCAGCTTTCCCAGAATTTGCCTAAAGCTATAGCTTCTACATGTAATCCACTTTCCCCAACAAAATACCAAGAGGCATAGGTCATTTTAAACACCAGAAAGCATCAGTTTACATGCATGAGGGTCAATAGGAATATGAAAGTGTGGTAGGGCATATTAGTAGATGTAGGTTACTAGTGTGAACCCTTATAGGACCAGTCTTCCAATGCTTCTGACTCCCCTCACCACAGTTAGCAATTGCACACATAACTACAAACAGATGTGGTAGAAGCTACCTGCGAAAGGTAGGTTTTGTTATCTGGGTAAGTGAATACTCCCCATGGCTTCATTCTGGATTGTCGCACAGAGACAATGATGCCGGCAATCTCATGAATTTTTACCTTTCAAAGTCCATATTGCACTAATTTCTTGGTGTAATTTTTGAAGTTTTGTATGTATTAACTTTCTGGAGGATTTTAATTTTTTTATTTTCATGTTCAGTTATTTGAAAGTTTTAACTAAACAAGTTGCCAAATGATCAAATGAAAACCAAAGTTTGGCGCCTATCAGTGCTTCTTTTTTAGTGCACGAAGTGTGAAGCCTGCAATGCAACTCTTGGATACAGCACGTATCAACATCTGCCCTCTGTTTGGGGTATTTCTTTGCTCATAAATTTTCACTAAATTCTCGGTAGCCATTACTGTGAATGTACTAAATCCATTTCTTGAAATAAGAAGCTTTTCTAATTTACTTTTGAAGCACAAGATACTCGTAACATCATAACATTACCGAGTGCAAATGTGCCCCTGCTTTTAGTACTTTACCAATGCAAAACGCCAAATTGTTGAGACCTGTATGTTTGATTAGCTGTCATTTTTGTTATATTTGTGAGCATTTGATGAAGCGCCATGCACTGATCTAGCTGAAGAATCATAACCAACAGACAAAATTGGTACACCCCAAGCTTTTTTATATTTGCCTCTTTAAGGCTAAGCTATTCTGGTGTTTCTTTCACATTTTATGGATTTTGCACGATACTTTTTTCTTAGAAAGGGGGAGTCACTCATGAGTGCCATATAAGTGGATCGCTAACTGGGAATTGATCTAAATGAGAATCCTGAGCAAAAAGCCAAACTACTTATGTTGGTTTATCAAAAGAAGGACTGTTTTCAGTACATAATAAATGTATCTTGCTTGATGGTTAAAAAAAAAAACTCTGTAGAATAGCACGTGCACATGTAGGAATATGCTGAGTATACAGGTAGTTGCAAAGCCCACATGCCTATTCACGAGTGATTACAATTCAATAGTTGTGGTCTGCTGACTTTTGGAGGCCATTTTGGAATTTTAAAACCTTAAGTGGCAGATATTGATACTTCATACATACAATGGTATTTTCTAACCATTAAATGATATTTCTATAAAAGACTGTACAAATAACTTTCACCTTGAAAGGGTATTTTGGGGGCAATATTGAAATTGGCTGCCATATTGGAATTTTCAGACATGCCCCTATATCCAACGTTGCTTAGAATCATGTTCTACATAACTGTGCCAATTTTTATGCTTGTAATTGTAAGTGCTTGATGATTTTACAAAACTGCTGCATATTTTGCGTAAGTAAACTGCTTATTTTACTTTTGGAGGCCATTTTGGAATTCTATACACCTGTAGAAGCGGATATTGATAACTCATTCATAGCATGATATTTTCCAGCTATAAAATGATATTTAAACCATTTTAGGACTATATATTAGATGTTTTAATTTAAAAGAGTATTTGTGGCGGCCATATTGGATTTGGCGGCCATACTGGAATTTTCAGACATGCCCATATATCCAAAAAAGCTTAGAATTCCATTATCTACAACTGTGGCAAATTTCATGCTTGTAGGTAAAAAACGCACAATTCACCCTTTTTTCTGCACCAATTTCTTGGACTACAAGCAGTTTCATGCTATAAGTCACCGGCAACGTTCATAAGCCAGAGATTCAGATGTTACAGCATCCTTCCTCATGTCCTGAAATGAACTGGGGGTAGTTAAAGACAGCAATTGGACGTTTTTGTCATCATATTTATACTCTGAACAGATCTGAAAATAGCTCCAAACAACAAGTTATTTTCCTTCATGACGAAGACAATTGACGTTATAGCAATCACACGCACGTCCTGGGAGGTTCAGAAACTAAAAGCAAGCACCTGCCTTGCATATCGTAAAGCGATCCGCTCCACGGGGGCTACCGTTGGTGCCAACAAAATGGCACCACCAAAAATGGCATCTAAATGGAGACAGTCGGCTTGAGTTCTTGAAGGGAAATCTCCAAGTAGCAACAGCTTTTACTTATCGTCAAGGACCGCGCCAAGGCGCTCCTGGAATGAGTTATTATGCACAATGTCTAATACAAAAACAAGCATCCATTTGATTCATATTCACGGACAATTAGCCTTACGCATTGAAAAACTCCCAGCATGTATTCCCAGTAGAAACCAGCCAATAATTGACGAATCCCTTATCGCACGAACAGCATTTGTTTCAATAATAATCTCCGTAATAAGATTTTCGTGAGATTATAGATTTTGCTGGCTTACGGTCCCCGATGGAGACGAAACATTAGATGTTCATAAAGTATACATCCAGAGATCAAATGACTCAGAGAATGGAACTAGGTTCGGTGGGGCCAGGAAACGGAGGTTGTAGGAAATGGCATTCATATGTCCTCTTTCATTCGGTAAGACTTTTAACGCTGCAAATACGAACAAAACACGTATCTGACATGACTCAATCTTTCTCAGCATTCTTCCCTTTTTCTTTCTACTTTTCGTACCAACTTTCAGGGACTTGTTGGCCACTCTTTACTGCGTGACGCAAAGTTTTAATTCGTCGATATTCTGAAAGCTGTGTCGATTACGTGTGACAAAGATAATCTTGCTCCAAGAGAGAGATAAAGCTGCCATGTAACAAGAGATAACTTCGTTTCGCAATCTGATGAGCAGAAGCCTCCCTGTCAGCAATTTAAATTGCCCAATTTTCTTTTCTACGAAAGCTTATTCAAGCGTGTCTAATGTGGTTTATTGAAGGGCTCTTTCCACCACCGGGCCGCTCTTCCAAAGGTCAAAGAATTGATTTTTGTGGGAAGATTAACCACCTATAGAAGGAATTCCGATAATTATTTATTGTAACCTGTCAAGTTGAAAGCTCCATATCAGAGAGAACGGGGTACCATAGCACTGATATCGTCACTTGACACCTTCAAGTCTCGTCATTTATTTAACTAGCTTCTATATCCCTCACCATCAGATTAAAGCCGCCAGGACGAGAACAGGATTGAGGTTTCAGAAGGGGGCGGGAGGGGGGAGAGAAAGATACTCCTTTAAGAGTTTCAGGTGATTCTGCAACCACTATAACAATAAAAGAGATGACAGGTTCGGTCAGGTCGTGTCCCAGGACATGATTGCACTTAACTGAATGTCGGCATGCATGTCCACTGTGTATTTCCATGCATATCTCCTGTTTAAAGCAAATTTCTAGAATCTATTTTACATCATTGTATTTTGAAAAAGAATATGCCAGTCCCAAAAAAATATAATTGTTATGAAAAAGACTGCTCAGGGTTATGGTTAGTGAATTCATTGAGACTCCAGCGCCAGATTGTTACTTGTACAGAAGCAAAACATTATGATATTATTATGATAATTTTCACGTAGGATTTTTCAATTAATTATTTTTTATCATTTCCTCATCAACTGACCTCATGACGGCCATGGCAGGGATTAAGTTTTGATTTGCCATGTTTCTACCCTCAATAAATGAACAGATAAATAAATAACTTTTTAATAAATAGATAACGGTTAACCTGGGCGAAAGCTTTCGTCGGACTTAGTACGTGTAGATGTAACTGTTATTCATTGGCCGTAAGCTGGCATGTAAGCTTTCAGTGCGTTTTGCTTGTGTGCAAATAACGATTTTAGACTACATATTCACCAAGCTGACGAATATTATGCTCAAGATTCGCCTAGAGCTATTTTGTAATCAGGCTGTGAAATGAAAAGAAAATATTTTTCGCCAAATTTCAACAAGTCAGCCTTAAAATGAAAAATGGGCCTGCCACCAGACGTACGCAGTGCAGTCTATAACATAGGCTTGTGCCCGACCGCGAGAAAAGTTGCATGGCAGATTTTAACCCCACCTCTCGTGAAATCTCGTTCAAATCTAAGTCTCGTTTGACGTCATCTGCTGCACCGAAAGTTGGTAAACATTTAGAAACGTCGGTACCTTAGCACATGTCATGTCTATTAGTTCCAGTAATGTTCATTTGGATATTTTTTTCACATTAAAAGGCATGTACAGATATAATTACGTATCGGTTGTCTGTGCCCACGTTTCATTTATTCTGCAGGGCAGAAAGATTTTTTCAAACCAAAGTATCCTGAAAGCTTTGTAACTCATTAAGGCGGTCTTAGGTAAAACTAATCATTATCGATTTGCGCAGTTGTGATTATGCACCTTAAACGTGTGGCATTTTAAGTTGCTTGGTTTCTATCTACAAACCGTCAATCTTAAAATCGACACCATGCGAGAAAAAATTAGCATATCAATTCCTAGTCTTATGTCACCGGAGTCCTGGGGGTGCTTTACCGCGTCTGTTGCAACTATTTGTATCCCAACAAACGAGTACATTTTTCACAATCATGTATTTTATTAATATCTGGTTAGATTTGATTCCAAAGAAGATGAGAAAATTCATCACCCTTCAGTTAGGTAAACCAAATCTCATTGAAAAATGTCTATAATTTTTACACAATATCCACAGCGCCATCTAGATTTTATACATGTTACATTCAAACACGCCATCTACTTTTTTACAATAAACCCTTTAATTTTATCTTCAGTATTAACATGTGTGTCACACTGTCTGAACTTAATCAAAAGTTAATCCCGTTCTAATACATTTTATACCAGCAACAGACCAGCCATCAGGTTAACAGCAAAGCAGCAAACCACCTTTCTAAACTGAATGGAAGGTGACCATTGCTGTTTTTAACAACTGCGAGGTCGTTATATCACAATTGCTCAAGACTTCAGTAAATTCCATTCAGAACACTTCGTCAGTTTGAACACACCTAAAAGCAAATCTAGTTCTATGATTGCGTCGTCACGCCTTCCATAATTAAACATGATGCTACTGCCCGACCAGAATACTACATCAAGTTAAATATTCACAACATTAAGAATGAAAATAAATATGATAAACTTTCACACAAGTATTTACAAGGTAGATGATAGTATTAATAGGTTTCTTATGATCCACTGCAACAGCGCTGACTATCTTAAGATTTATGTAGCCATGGTGTCTTTTGAAGCAACGTATTTAAAATAATGATCTACTATAATACATCAGATACAAATTACAGAGAAAAATATAAATTTCAAAACAAAATTGATTCCCCATTCCCAATGGTCTCCCCGTTGAACCTTTAGGGCACAGTAAAATATCAGTTAAATGAAAAACAGTTTCCAGCTGTTTTACTTGCAGCAGAAAATACACAAAACCAAATGAATTGCAGGCCAGATTTCAACGTTTTGTGCCCAGGGCTGACTAGCCTCGATCTCATGCCGTACCTGACTAGTTCCACCATTCTTCCAATTTCATATCATGACCACAATAACTGGACAAAAATTTTATCATAAACCACTACTGTATTTAACTTCCTTAGAACTATAACATTTTCAGATACAAGTATGGCACAAATGCCGTGTTTCCAAAAGACCAAAGCTGCCACTCACAAAAAATTATATGAATGTTCACATTGGATATGAACATCGGTTTGTGACGACCTGCAGATTTGTAGTCGTCTGACAACTGATTTTGTTATCTTAAAAATGGTGTATTTGTCACTCCATGACCCTCCTTTCACCTGTCCTACTAAAAAAAAATCCTCACATATTTCTAAACAAACAAAATAATATTGAAGTGTGAACAATATGTTGCTGCCTTATAGGTATATAAACAATATCCAATGCCATTATATTTTGACCCTTCTGTAAGTTCATTTCTGAAGTAAGCATAAATGTGTCAGAGATATAAATACATCAGTTCAGCCAGTTTTCATGTGAAATTCACTTCTGAATCAGTCAAATAGGTACCACTACACTTTCCAAAGACTGATAATTTGTTCCACTTTATCAATGTAGGCATTATAGTGGTTTGAGTGCCCTGTTCAGAGTCAGTTGGTTAGTTTGCAATGGTTTTTCCAATGTTGATGGTGACTTAATGTCATTTTTCTCTCTCTCTCTCTCTCTCTCTCCCCCCCCCCTCCCCCTTGCAGCCAATGGTCAGTGGTCATCTCAGTGAGGATGGTGTCCAGCAGCCTGCATCCTCTCTCTCTCCAAGGCAAGTTGTCTATGAAAAGCTTCTTGCTGGGCTGCCAGCTGAAAAAAAAAAAAAAGATATAAATGAAGACAGTAATCCAATTTGTATATGGTACGTTTTTTTTTTTATCGACAACTTCATTTTTGTGGTTGCTCCTTGTATGATAGTGTTTTGTAAGAAGTTGCCAGGCTGAGATGTTAAATTTTGGTTTCACTGTGCTTGCTGATATTGTGATATTGTGCTTGCTGTGATTCCACTGGACTCAGACTCTCCATTCTCATTGTATGTAAATTCAACTGAGTAAGCACAACTATTGATAAGCATCAGCATCATTGTGTGCACTGGTAACTTGCAACTTTGCACTGACTAATGACTGACATTGACTGTATCAGATATAGCTAAGAAGTTGAGATTAAGTTATAACTCATCAAACTGAGCATATGTAGTGATAAGTTAAATTTTTACATCTCTCAGTTGTGTAATAAAGTAATAAAACTGATCATAATGCCAGATCTTCAGAAGGTGGCTCCATCTATGGTCTCACCTGCTGCATCAGGACCGGGTCTGTCTGGTATCTAGCCAGTACCTCAGGAGGGATGGATGCCGCACCCTCCCGGGCCAGCAAAGGGTGGGGTGGGTACCCTGGGGTGAGAGACCCAATTCCTGGAGGCAGGGCACCAGGTCCCCCTGAAATTGCACCCATAGGATCTGCACCTGAAACATAGACCAGATATCTGTAGAACTGAGTCTCTCTCTCTCAAACACATACTTTGGTATATAAAATGTTATAAGCCTAGTCTAACTGACCAAAATTCAACCAAACCCAAAAGTTTGCTTTTGATACAATGAATCTATACTCTACTGACATGAACATTTAGCAAATTAAACTCCTCAGTGAGGGTCTAAGTTAGTCTTGGAGTTAGCCCACAACCTAGAAAGCAATCTCTCTCTCTCTCTCTCAATCACAAGCCACAAGGCAGGAGGGACAGTCACTGTGTTACACTGAGCTGATACAACATCAAGTCTTTGCAGGCCATGACTTTGATTTGTGATTAGTTGCAAAGAAATCTGCTAAGAGACTGCTTCCACTCCCAAATTCAAACCTGGTTTTAATGCCTGTTAAAAAGTGATAAAATTACAGAAATAGAAAAAACTGTGGACAAAATCAAATTTTAACATGAGATTAAATAATGAGTTTTCAAAGCATAACGAGGGCCTCATGGAAATATGATCCCAGACATGATTTTGGGAGGTAGGAAAAGAGTTGGAAGACATGGCTTAATGGCCATGTAGGTGGGGGGCCACAGAAGGTGGAAAGACATCGAGGACAATTTGGATTCCTGATTCAAAATGAAAAACATATATATATATATATATATGACTTATCAACTATGTCTGTGATCACCTTGTGAAGAAAAGTGGACAGTTTAAGTCATTCCCAGCCCTAAAGTTTCATCATTACATATAAAGCACCCATCACCTCCTGCTATGCGTGAATCATGAAGAATTTCTCAGCAAAAACATCAAACAAAAACAGGGAAAATGGCAGAAGCACCACACTGGAGCAAATGTCGCCCAGTGTTCCCTTGAAAAGTAACGCCACCTAATGGCATGCACGTCCACCGATGGCCGTGAAATTCAACATAGAACACTTTAAGGTGTGGCTGGCCGAAATATAAATATAATTTAATATAGTATGATTTGATATGTTCTGATAACCAGAAGTCAATTTTCCAAATCAAAATTTGAAAAAATTCCAACACGATGCTCTGACCACCAAATACATATAAAAGAAACAATTTTTGCTAACAATGAAAATGTTCTTGTTTCCGCAGAAAATATTGTTTCATAATTGTATTTTTGAAAATTGTTTTTCAAGACTGTCGGTACAGAATGTGGGATATAAAAATGAAAGGAAATACAACAGCAGTGCTAAAATCTTCTCATAAATGACAGCCAGTTAGATACTGGATATCTAAAAACAATAATTTTGGTTTGTAGTTCAAAGGAACACTGGCCAGCCAAGTTTTTTTCTTTTAAGACTTACGAGAGAGATGATAGATGAGACAAGAACGCTCATATGAATTCAATTGGCCTCGTGGATCGTGCTTAGGTGAGTACAGGGAGGACGGATTTGGCTGGTGTGGTGCTGTGCTGCCACCTATAGGCAAACCGCCATCGTTAGAGTAGCGGTGAGTGACGATTTCACAAATCATCATATTGCGACTGGTACGATGATCTGTGTTTAGGACATCTGCAAATACAATGAGAAAATATTAGCTGGCTGCACTCAGCCTGTCCTCACCTGGTTGTAAAAGATGTGGGAAGAGCAGTGGGTGGTACTGAGAAGTGCTGCCCCCTATGGATCCGTAGCCTTCTCCCCCTGGTGTTGGTGGAGCCCCTGCTGATGATGGTGGTGCTGGAGGAGGAGGAGGAGGAGGCAGACCTGCAACAGCCGCCGCAGCAGCTGCCGCCGCCTGCTGTTGTTGCAATTGTGGCTGATGGAGATGTAGATGCGTGTGTGAATGCGAGTGAGTGTGTGTGTGGGCGTTGCTCGGTGCAACGCCTGACATCTGTAGTCGCACAAGGGGGTCAGTGGAAAGAGCCATCCTCTCCGCATGCAGGCGCTCAGCACTTAGGCATTCCACTGAATTGGAAAAGGACGCCTCACGGGAAGCAGCAATATGGGCAATTTGAACAGAGGCAGGGATTCCTAAATACAAAATAATATAAACTGATATGCAGCCATAGTGTACTGAACATCATGTTCCTCACAATGTGGATTAATAGGTTAAAATCATCCAAAGTTTCTCACTCCATCTACAAATACTTTATTCATCAACTTTTTCCAGGTGTAATAATTTTTCAAGACTGAGCATTATTTCTTTATTTCTTTGGCTTCAAACTGCATAACCTCCAAGGCAACAATAAATTAGAATGCTGAAATACTTAGAGTTGATTGGTTCCTGGCTGCTCTGGCCACCAAAACCAAATAAACAGCAGATACTTGCTTTCATATGCCTTATTTTTTTATGAAAATCTTTATTAATCTTTTACTAATTTCAATTTACCTGAATTTTACTTAAAACTCTCTCTCTCTCTCTCTCTCATCTGAAAGAATATAACAAAATACCAGCCACTTACCCAGTCTTTCCAGCCTTTCCCTCTCCCTGGCCAACATTTCACTGGACATACCCCCTGGAGGGTACAGCGAGGCCATATGGGGTGGGGCACCAGGTGTGGGGGCCCCTGGGGGGTGTGGGGTGAGCCCAGGGGGCATCCCATACCGTCTCTGCAGCTCCAGAAAGTGAGGGTCCATTGGACCAGCTGAGTGAAACCTTTCCAGACCACCTAGTCAAAAAAGAATTTTAATTATAATATACTTCTCAATTTCAATTGCCTCATTTACTCCAAAGACATCATTTTGTCACATAGCTTTATCAGACACAATTTTGGGTTGTAAGAAAAATGTAGAAAGAAGTGGTTCAGGGTCTGGGGGTTGCTTAAGGCAAGATAAATAGAATTGCAATTTAAATCAGAGGAAAAAAAATCATGTCTGACTTGCAGCTTTAGTTACTCACATATGCACAATACCTCTCAACTGGAACATAACTTATTTATCACAACAGTTCATTCCTCTATTCAAATATCACTTGAATCACTTATTTTTATGATACATAACCAATCATTTTTGTTCCAATTTTAACGTCGCTATTGATGTTTTCTTTAATATTCATGGTGTAAATGATGACATATTGTGGTTACTGCAGTCTCTTCAATGTATAATTAACTATTAGTTAAAAGATGGACTACAGTTTGAATGAGTATTATCTGAGACAAGTATTTTGTGTCACATTACACAAAGGGTGTCACAGTTAGACATTTGTGACAGGACAGGTGTGTGTCTGCTCAAGGTCAACATTAATCACCTCCTTGACTTAGTTCCATCTCTTGCTTCATCTTCTCGCGGAATTCCAGTTCCCGCAGCTCTCTTTCCCTGAGTTCTCTCTCTCTGGCGTCTCGCTCCCTTTTGTCTCTCTCCAACTCTAGCTCCAGCCTGGAAAGAGAGTAGTAAAAGAATTCTCAAAACGATCTTTTCAAAAAGAGCCAACTTCTGGTTAAAACTATATCCTTGTGAGCTCTACATTCAGATATTGGCCCTGGTGCAGCACTAGTAAAATTGTTCAATGCGACAGTGACTTCAATGAGTGACAACAATGAGTTCAATGTATGTATACATTATGACACTGACTTCTACATGATTACGTCCCTTGCATGACAATGTGTTAGGTGTGACATTGTTGGTGGTGACATTATGTTAAATGAAATATTGCTTTAGATGTTATAATTGTGACATTCTGTTTGCTATAACATTGCTAGGTGTGACACTGTGTAAGGCATGACATTGTGTTAAGTGTGACATGGTGTTAGGTGTGACATTGTATTGTATAAGCCAGTGCCGTACCATGACAGTAAACCTTACCTCTCTCTAGACCCTGGCGGATACATGGCTGCCAGTCTATAATGGTACAAAGGATCAAGGCTAGCATGGACACCTGGGGCATTGTATGCTGCTCTGGCAGGATCTGAAAACAAATATCCAATTATTACCACAACAGTTTTACCTTGAGCAGTCACATACAGATGTTATCGCCGATTCTTAGACCAGTCAGAGAAAAGGACGTTATAAATAAGTCAACAACAATGGTGGATAGCAGCAATGTTGCAACTTTTGGAAGACACTGACGTTTGGGTATAAATTTAATATATAAGAAAAACAATTATTGACTTTTGCCCTTGGTCAAAATGTTGTTTTGCTGACCTCAGCTAAAGTTAATAACTGCAAAACATACAATGATGTACATATTAAGACAGTGGGTGTTGAAAATGCTTTCAATTTTGTTATAATGTGGAGTGAATGTTGCTGAAAAAGATACTGGATTTTTAATTTTTGAACATCTTGATTAAGCATAATCAGTTCAATTCAATATTTTCAAAATGAGTCTGCCTTTTTCAATACAAGTCTGTCTATTTCTTTTTGACAAGCTTGTCAGGAAAAAAAGGATAGTGAAGTAAATGGTTTCCAGGACTATCTCTCACAACAAATTGTCTCACCACAATGTTAAACCCAGCACACACAAGTGGCATAATCTGAACTTCTGTCACCAGATTAGGAGGTTATTTTCTGACTTAAGAGTATAATTAAACCCAATGACACCTTATCAAATGTGTTTGTGTACCACTTTCCAAGACAGAGATATCAACTAAATACTGTCGACCAGTTGACAGCATCATTTCGGAATATAACATCTGTGAAAGTCGTATTTTGCGACCAATTAACAAAATACAGAATAAATACAGCTCAGTTGCAGAAAAAAAAAATCTAAAACCAAATATCTGCAGCTGAGTCTGATTAGTCCGATGTGGGGTGGGTTTGAATGAGACAATGTTGAGGAAGACAGTGTGTTGTAGATCACTAGCCTTGCGCCTCCCCACTTTGAGACTGCCTGCCATACAACATCCCATAGTATACAAATGGGTCTATCCCATAATACTCCCTGCCAACAGAGGGCAGTGTGGGAGAACCATCTGGAAAGAAACAAAATGGCAGACACCACTTTAAATTTCTGCAACACATTTCCTCAGCTGGTTCTTTCCCTCCTCCTCTGAATTTTAAAACACTGGACTAATTCAGTTTAGATTGTATTCCTGCAAGCTGGTTAATTTACATGAAAACCCAATTTAGAGGCGAATTGGAAATCGTTTAAATAAACTGGCAAAGTATAAACAGTTTTATAAATAATCTTGAATGTGCAGTCCTAGCATTTCTCAAAAAAAAAAAAAAAAAAAAAAAAAAAAAAAAAAAAAAAAAAAAAAGGGTGAATCCAGAAACAACAAATACAGACTGCACAACATAAAGTTAATAAAATATAATAATATACATTGCAAATGATTTTGAGTCAAAGTAACACTGACATAGTACATTATATCATAATGTGTAAATAAATTCACACATGCCGAAATGTTTAAGGTACGACTGAAAGTGTGTGTGTGTGTGTGTGTGTGTGTGTGTGTGTGTGTGTGTGTGTGTGTGTGTGTGTGAATGTGCATATGGCAGTTTGTTCAAAAGTTTGCCATTTTTCGTTCTGTGTAGTATTAATGTAAAATAACTATCAATGTTTGTTTGAATCAAGGTACAAAAGAAGTATAGTATAGTCAGTCTATAGTACAGCAACAGTCCTTAACATAAATGTACCCCAAGTATGTTGTATAACCCATGATGGCATGAGTGTGGAAGTTAATTAGAAAAGACAAATCTCAAGCCTGCACCTACCCATGACATGTGGCCTGGCGTATTCGCTAAGCTGTCGCAATGCAGGTGTGTCGTGACCTGGATAGAGGGACTCCGGTAAGTAACTGCGTGGTGTGCGCCGTTCACTATACTGTCCGTGAGAGGACATGATGCTGCTTGTGATTTGTGCGTCTGCAGAGGTATTTTCTGGGGCCAATTCTGGTGACTTCTGTATTTAAATAAAACAGTGAATGAATATCTTCTTTCATGTAAATCAAATGTAATACACTTCACACGCATTATATTTATTTGTCAGACTTTTTTTAAAAACCAAAGTGAATTATCTTCAGATTTTGCTAAATTGTAGAGAAAAGATGTATCATAACATAAACACAAAACATGATGTGATGGAACTTACAGCTATTTTCTCCTCTTTAACCTCATGCAGCGGGGTTTCGGGTCTCTTCTTCTGCCGCCCTTCGCGTTTCTTTGCTAAAGCAGAGTCAGGAAGAGGACGAAATTCCCAGTCACATCTGCTGCAGGAATTCCACCCACGACTGAGAATCTTGTAAAATCTGAATATAATGGCAGCGGAAAAATCATATTTACCAAAAATCCAAATAAGAATATGGTAAAATCTGAAACATGATACAGGAAATAATTATCTTTCACTCGAGTCAGAGATAAAAAAATCCTGTACAATCTGAAACATAACACAGAAAATCCCTGTCTTTATCTGGTAAACATGTACATATGACGCTTTGCTCCTGATCATGTGTCTTTCTTGAAACTGAAACCTTAGAACTATAACTTACATAAAAAAAATAAATAAAAATAAGCAAGACCTTTTGACACAGAAGAGATATCTGGTTGAAGACATCTGCTCAGAAGTGCACCAAAAATGATATGAGATCTGAACTCAAACTCCTTAAGATTTACAGTAAGATTTTCATGGAAAATAGTTAAGTTTTCTTTTCTTTTTGTCTCTTTTTTCTTTCTTTTTTGGTGGGTTCAAGGAAGGGGGGGGGGGGAACTGCATACAAAGGACCTCTACTGTATCTGTAAGTAAGAACAATTTTTAGTACTTACATTGCAGATTTACTCTTATGTATTTCCTCATTGCAAGCAGTGGCTTCAGGCTCAGGGGGTCTATCCTCAGGCTCCGAGTGCACCTCTTCTTCCTCTTCCTCTGTTATATTGACTGACCTTGAGCTTGGTCTCTCCACTGGTTCCTGCTTTATAGGTGACCGTGACCTTGACCTAGACTTTGGCCTCTCTGCAGGGGGACTAGAGGCGGGTGGAGGGGGTGAAAGTCTCTCTGTCTTTATCTGAATGGAAGGATTGATTGTGTTGGGTGTGACGGGGATTGTGCTGGGTGTGACAGGCATTGTGTTAGGTGTGACAGGGATTGTGCTGGGTGTGACAGGGAGATGTGGTGGATGTGACGGATTGGTAGGAGACATCTGTATTGGGTTGATAGGATACTGTGGATGAGGGATATGATATGGCATTGGGTGATGGGGATGATGATAAGGGAAACTTGGATTAAATGGTAAGAATGAACTCCTCTCCAAAGGTTGTGGATAGAGCGTTCTTTCAGGTAATAACCCTCGCTCTGATTGTTCATTATGTAAGGGTCTTTCTGATAGGTCTTTCTCCTCAACAGACTTGTCCCTTATGTCTGACCTGTCAAGGTATTTGTCTGTTTTTTCAGTTAATTTATCCAATGGCAATGTCTGTAATTGAGACCTAGGCTGTGACCCAGATCTAGAACGTGACCTTGACCTCGCTAGATTAACATCATCTCCTCTTCGAGAGTCCTTCATCAAATTCATTCTTTCTGGAGATTTGGATTTTGATCGAGATCTTGAGCGTGATCTGGATCTCGACCTACTAGACTTTTCCTCCTGTTTCAAAGACGGAAGGTCTAAATCCTCAGTTCTTTCTGGAGAATTGGATGTCTCTCTGGTCCTAAGAGGGGATGATGAAGCTTTTTCTTTTTTAATATATGGAGGAGGTTTGTAATCTGCATCATCATCAGCTGGACTGGGAACACTGGAAGAACTGGAGCTTATGTCATCCTAAAAAGAGGAGTATGAACGGTTTAATCACACCAAGTTTACTACACTGTTTAACTGGACTTAAATCTATATTTTTTTAATTCTTAAGACAGCATTTAAATTTTTCTGAATTTTTTTTAAAAAAGGAAATAGCCTT